CTCTGGCTGGCGCCGCTGGTCAGTCACCCATTCGCAATCGAGTGGTCGCCCGTAAGGGGCTATTTGGCAGTTGCTGACCCCCCTTCCCGTTGCCGAACGCGGGGGGGACGGCGGCGCACCGTCCCATCGCCCGCCGCCGCGAGCCGCGCGCCTCGGCGGAATTCCAAAGACCTGGCAAGGCAAAGCATACTCGATTCTTAAAAATTCTCCAGGGGTAAAGTTGAACAAATCTGGGGGCATTGTTGAACATGTCCGGCCTACTTTTTGACAAATACCAGAATCGTTTTAGAAAATTCCCGGGATCGATTTTGAAAAATTCCGGAATCCATTTTGAAAAATTCTGGATGTCAGAATTCTTCAGATGTCCTGCGCGGCGGGCGCATTCCACCCCTCAAAACTGTTTCTTGAAAATTTCCGGGCTCCTTTTTGAAAAATTCCGGAACCGCTCGCGCGGAAAAAAGCGGAAGCGTTTTCTGACGCATTCTACAATCCAGAAATACTGTCCGGGCGGTCCGACGGGCGCGGTCGGCAGATTCACGCGCCGCGCCGCTCGCGATTGGGCGCAGCGCGCGCCGCGCGTTGCGCCCGCGAACAGCACTCGAAGGGGCTACCTCCAAAACAACGCCACGGCAGCTGCGACTCGCGAACTCCCCAAGAGCAACACACCATGCAGCTTGGAATCTTCGAGGGCGCTCCGATGCGCGAAAAACGCACCGCGAACATCACGCAAAGAACCTGCGCGACGAAATGCGCTCGACCATTCGTCCCTGGAGCCCGCGCGGACGAACAGGAAAACCTGGAAATCTGGAAAACTATCCATATCAATACTTCATGCTCCTCGTCGTTTGCCGGTCAGTCGGTCAATCTGACGGGCGGGAAACATCGTCGCGGGCAGTCAGGCAGGCGGGCGGGCTGGACACGTCGTCGTCCTCGTGGTCGTCGTGATCATCCCAATCCTCGTCGTCGCCCTCGTCGTCGTCTGCGTGATTGTCATCGTAGTCGGCGTCGTCACTGTCGTGGGCGAGTCCATCGGCCGGGCGGTCGGGCGGGACACGCCGCCGGCGTCATGGTGGGCGAGTCGGTCGGGCGGGCGAGCGGGCGGGCGGGCGGGCGGGCGGCATCATCATCATCATCATCATCATCATCATCATCATCATCATCATCATCATCAGCAGCAGCAGCAGCATCATCAGCATCATCATCAGAAAACATCATCATCGCCACCATCACCATCATCATCACCATCAACATCATCACCATCATCACCACCATCATCATCAGCATCATCGTCATCATCCTCATCCTCATCATCATCAGCAGCATCATCATTAGCATCAACAGCAGCATCATCCTCATGATCATCATCAGCAGCAGCAGCATCAGCATCATCAGCATCAGCATCAACATCAGCATCAACGTCATCAGCATCAGCATCATCAGCAGCAGCATCATCAGCATCGTCACCATCAGCATCGTCATCATCATCAGCAGCATCACCATCAGCAACAGCAGTATCAAATTCATGCTCAGCATCATGCTCAGCATAATCGTCATCATCACCATCATCATCAGCTTATTATTCTTCATCCTGATCCTCATCATCCTCATCATCATCATCATCATCATCATCATCATCATCATCATCCTCATCATCATCATCATCATCATCATCGGCATCGTCATCATCAGCAGCATCAGCAGCATCATCATCATCATCATCACCCATCATCATCAGCAGCAGTATCATCAGCAGTATCAGCAACATAAGCATCAGCATCAGCATTATCAACATCATCAGCATCGTCATCAGTCGCAGCATCATCATTGTCGCCACCGCTGTCTACAGTATCAGCAGTTGCGTCATCGCCAGCATCGTCGTCACCACAATCACCATCAGCATGATCGCCACGATCGCAATCGTCAACTGCACCATGACCGTCGTCGTTGCCGGCATCTGCCCAAAAATACACCCACCTTCGCCCGCATTAATGAAATGAACATCACCGTTGCCATCATAAAAAAACACACCATCATCATCCGCGGCAGCATCAGCAGCATCACGATCGCCATCGTCACCGTCACAGGCGTTGTCGTCATCATCTCGGCAGCAACCTAAGCCCTGCCCCATCCCTGTCGCCCCCCTCGCCTCCCCCTCTTCTCCCCGCTCCGCAACCCCCCCCCCACCTCCCACCCGCCACCCCTCCCCCTCCCCCCACACACTCCACCCCTCCACTCCCCACACAGCCCCCCCACTGCACACCCTCCCTCTTCATCCGTCCTCCCTCGCCGTCCCTCCCTCTCCCTCCCTCTTGGCGTCGTGCACAAGGGGGCAGGGGGAGGGGGGAAGGCATCCCCCCCTCCACCCCCCTCTGCGCGTGGCCGACCATCCTAAGCAACCCATGAAGGACGTACGCGCTCACCCACGTACATGAACACGGTCCCCCAATCCGCGAGATCGTCCGCGCGATAGGAACGTTCGCGCAACGCATACTCTCGAAAACATCGTGGACTCATGTACGTGTACGTCCTTCTGTAGCTCC